AAGTAATCAATTTTCCATTTCTTTTTCATTTTTCATAACATTTTTCATTTGCGTGCATGGGTACGTTACATTCCCAATCAGTACCATAAAGGGGTGCGTTCCATCAATTCAACATGCACATGCAAGTATTCTACATAAATCATATCATCATATCATTTATATTCTCCATTTCATTCCATTTTGAAATATAAAAAGCATAATGACATAGGATGAGTGACCTCTCTATGATATAAAAGAAATTCAAGGCTTCTATTCAGTATGCCAATTTTCATTAATAAAACAATAAACAATAACAACACGTGATGCATCATGTGTAAAGGAAGAAATTATCATTACTGTAAAATAGAAGCATGAGCACTTACCTTGATTTAAATAGCTTTTTCCCTTTTTGTCCTTGTTCTTGACTTCAATAGAATGACACCTATAATAATAGGTGATTTCATATGGTTATTTTGACATATAAATCTAATCATATCTATCTCTAATTAGTTATTAAAAATACTTCATATTTCTTCTTCTTAATTTATTATAATCTCATATATTCTTCCATTAATAAATTATAATAATAAATTTTAACTTAAAATAAAGTATAATTATCCTTTATTAAAACTCTAATAACATTATAAATATAAACATTTTAAATATATTAAATTTTTATTTTAAAATATTAATTTTCTTAATAATCTTAATAAAAAGAACAAATCCAACCTATCACTCGGTCTCCTTCGCCAGCCTTGCTTGCTCGATCTCCCCAAATAAAATTCTTCTTTTCTCTCTCTAATTTTATCATTAATAATTGTAATGAAAAGCTCATAATTTAATCATTATTATGCTCTAATTGATATTTCAGATTTTCCATTAAAAATATAGATATATTTCTTATTTTAATATATATAGTTATGACTCAATATTTCATGAATCAATTTATATCATACCCTTTTCTTAACGAATTATGAAATTAATATCGATTAATAATAACTTAAATTAAATAATAAATAATTTCTTTAAAATTAACCTCCCTCTTTGTTTTCAATTTGCTCAACGAATCTTAGCCTACGCTTGTGTTGGTGCTCTCACTCGACTCTTTGACCGTTTGTGCTCAAACTCCCTCGGTCTCACTCCTCTCTATCATCTCTAATTTATAGAGATGAAGCCAACAACGAAAATGGCCTTAACCCTGCAGTTTCCACGACACCAAAAGGCGGGAGCAAGCTCTACATCTTCTGCTTCTTGCGATCCGGACCGTTCGGGTTCGGCGATACAACACGATCAAAACAACCCTAAGTACCTTCTTCGCCTTCCTCATCCCCTTTGACTTCCTCAACTCCTTCGGCTTCCAGGGGACAAAAAGCGACGCACTTGCTTTGTATTAAACATACCATTCCTTCGACTCCTTCACCTTCATCCTCTTCATATACCTACGGCTTTAGGTAACGAAAACATGTTCCTTTTGCTTTATCTTCTTCGTATTCTTTACATTGTCGAACCCTAGGTTTGATATATTACAACAAAGGACGACCTTACTTTACTACATTAAAAAATTAATCCCTTGTATATTTATTGACAAAAATCAAAAAAAATTTAATTTGAAGCTTATCATTTGACTAAATAGTTCACTTTTGTTTTAGACCAAAATAATACCTATGGACCATCTAAAGTAAAAAATATCTCCACATATTAGAGCTAATAAATTATTTCCATCATAGACAATCATACATGTTTGACTTATATTTTAATAATGAAAAAAAAAAATCAAAGCAGGATAAATTTTTAAACATTTCCACACCATAACCAACACTAAATTTCAACATTCTTTAGCACGTGGAAGAATTTTGATTATCGGATTAAACCTGAGCATGTCTTTTAATCCCAATTTTTGTGCTGTGGTTTACTTGGATAGAAAGAATGATGTGAAGCACAGAAGGGCTAAATTCAATGATAAAAGGATAATTTGAAAGGTAATAGACAAGATTTTCTTGTTAAGAAAGCTAATAGTTTGAGTTTAGGCATACAATGAGATGCTCTTTACATGGCTTACTTAAATTTCCATCAGTGATAACTATCATTCCTGCCACGAAAATGGTCTGGTTGTTGTAATCTACAGTTGTTGAGGTGAAACCTAATGTGGATGGGTGCTGAAAAGGTAACCCAGGGTAGTGGGATATTCATTAAAGACCATCATAGGAACGTAATTTTAGCATTTTATAAATATCAAGGAGAAAAGCCATCTTACTTTACAAAACTTAGAACTATTCTTCACGGACTGGAGTTATGTCTAAAATATGACCTGCAAAGGATTTGGATTAAAGAATATGCAAAACTATTATTAGATATTCTTCTTAAAAATAAACTTGCTGCTTGTAGTTATTTCTACTTAATTGTAAAAGTTAGCCTTTCACTAAAACAAGCTAATCACAGATACATCACACTTGGCGTGCAGCAAATAATACTGATGTTTGGGAGGTTAACAAATGTTGAATATTGAAAAGCTCTGGACCTCTTAAGAACTATATACATGGACAATAAGTAGGTATCATGATGGATAAATAGTTTGGTCTTCATTATTCTCGGCATGCCTAAATTCCTTGTTTTTGAAGCAAGTTTTTCTTGGCAATTTATGCATGTGCTCTATATTTTTGTTCAGTTGCTTCGGTTGGTGTTTTTTATTCATCTTGCGATGGTTATTTTAGTCGCTTGGTTGCCTCACCTCTCTATTTGGGTTTTATTTCTATCAGAAGGTTGGTGATGCGGACATCCAACTGTTCATGCCTATCCGAGGAGTTGAAGATAAATGGCCGTGATCGTCCTACGTTATCTTAAATTTTATTTGTAATTTTTATTTTTTAATTATGCACTTTTCATTTTTACCCTTATTTAAGGGTCTTGTCTTATGTAAGCCCAAGGGGCAAAGTTGTCTTTTCATTCCTTTTAAGGCCTATATATAGAGGCTCTTGCACTTGTATGAGATGAAAGATGGATTATTAATAATAATAAAAAAAAGAACTAGAGCCTTTGTCTTGATCTCTGTGTGAGTTCTGAAAAGGAAAAGTCCCATGAGAGGACAACCTTGTTTCCACCAGCCGCACGATGGATCTAGGCTCGTGGATTGAAGTCCCTCGGGGAGGGCAACGCAGTACCCACCAGCTGCAGGAAGAGTTTGGGCTCGTGGTTTGTATCGTTTTTATTTTATCTTTTCTTTGTTCACCGTCCTCTCATCTCTAGTCTCCACCATTTACCATCCATTTTTTTGTTTTATTACGTTTGATTTTGGTTAACTTTTCCTTTGGATCAAACATCAACCCCTCCACCTCCATAGTCGGCTGACCACCTCACCCCACCTCTTCCCTCCTCCTTTGGCTCCACCAATTTCGTCTTGCATTCAAAACCCTTCCTATTTTAGCCATCTTAATTTGGCAATGAATTCAAATTCAAAATTCAAATAAATTTGAATTTGAATTTGTTTCCAAATTAAGGATTCTTATTTTAGGAAAGTTACTTAAGTTGGATCTAATTAAATTTCTAATTGGATTTGATTTAAATTAATTTTCCTAATTAGTAAATCGCTTATTGGAAACCCCCCAAATCTCTCCCAATATGAATTTAATTGAAATTAATACCAATTTTCATGATTCATTGAACTTGGACACATTCATCGAATGTGGACACCCTCCCACCTCCTTGGCCATCTTGATGATGATTTCAAGCATCATTATTACATGCCTAAATTAGCCTAAATGATTTGGGAAAGATTTTAATTCAATTTGAAATTCAAATTTGAATTTCAAATACTTTCCTAAATTAACCAAGCTAAATTAGGAAAGTTCCTAAAATTAAGTATAATTTAATTTTAAATTAGATTTAATTTTGATAACCCCTTACTCTCTCTTTCCCACTTAACTTGAAATTTCAAATTCATATGACCCCCCCTTCCCGTCCTACATCAGTTGGCATCCCCCTTTTAAAGTCAAATTAGCTCAATTGCAATTTGTAGGCTTGAACGAACATCATTATGGAGAATTTTTCTGACAAAACCTAGTTGCACTTGTTTTGGAGCTGGCCTCCTTGTTCGTTTCTAGCATTCTATGCCTTGACCCATCTTCAAACCCTAGGCTATACGAATCATAATTTGATTGAATTTTATGACGCCCCTCAAGTTCAGCTATGACGCATTATTTTGGCGCCCCTCAAGTTGAGCTATGACGCACTATTTTGGCGCTAAAGCAGATTGCTCCTTTTAACGTTGATGAAGACCCTTTTGTGTAATAATGCGTCATTGGGTTACATACTTAGGTATTTTGGTTTTTGCTTGTGTGGTGCCTATGAGCAAATGTTGTTTTGTTAAACTTTTACTTATTACTTCATTCTTCAGGTGCATTTGGAATTTACTCGTGACTTGATCTTTTAATGGAATAAATGAGTGAGTGTCCACCAAATCAAATGTTTACGCACAGAAATTGCAGGAAAAATAAAAGCAAAATTGAATATACAAAAACATATCTACCTCCCAAACATCAAAAATCAAGATTGAAAGAAACAATAGAAGCCATCAATACCACTTTATTAAACAAAAATCAAGGTTAAATACACTGAAGTTGCAAAAGAAAGAATGGGAAGTGCATTTTAGGGTGTCTTTTTATTTTGTTTGCAAGAGTCGTTTGTATTGTCGTAAGTTTTCTTTTGTTTAGTTTAATTTGAAATGTAAGAGTTTGTTCGTCCATTTTCTCGTCCTTAGTCATTTTTCGTCATTAGAAGTCCATCGTGTCGTTTGTGATCGAGAGATATAGGCTCCCCTATATCTCTTGCTCGCACCAAAAAGAGCCAGAAAAAAATTCACCAAAGTAAATACAATCATTCTGATTTCCACAAAACAACCATATTCTTCCAAATGTTACAACAAAATTTAAAGTTTCTCTCTGCTTATACGAAAGAAAAATGTTATGATAACTATTTGAAAGTATAGTACAAGGGGAATATGAAACTGAAGATAAGATATTTTGCACCTTTCTAACAAGATCTGCTAGCATGCCAAGTGTGGACAAAACCCTGCGCCCTTGGGTGAGTTGAGCCCTAATACCAGCACAAGGAGTAAATCATTCATATACAATTTTGAGGAGAGCATAGAATCAGCATTTCCCCTTGTTTATTTACTTAAAAGGCTAAAAAAATATTCTTTGTTGAGTACTTGCAATGAACAAATAAAGTTCATAGGAGAACCACAAGATATTGCATACACCTCAAGGTATCAATATAATCATATGTAAAAAATGAAAACATAACTATGCTTCATGGGAAAAAAATTTAAAAAAAAAAGACAACAAAAATGCTAACCTTAAGGGATTTAAAATATGGGTATGAATAATCAGGTCCAAACTAAAACTTACATTCAACTTTAAATTGATGAAAGTACGTGCCATTTGCCAATGAATTCTGCTGTCAGGTTTTACGTTTGGATAATGGAAATAAAATTTCTAGATGCCTGGTAAGGGACGCACCAGTGGATGTGGCCCGCATCCTAATTTACCAAAATAAAAAAATAGACTTTCTCAATAAATCGGATTTGCTTTATAGAAAATATATTTTATGTAATTCCAAATTTACCACTTTTTAGAATAAAAACAACCTAACCGGCTTACTACTCATGGTTTATTACATTTTAGATATTACACTAGGCTAGTTAATTGATAAAAAAGATTATTTAGGCTAATTAATTAGATATTAACTAAACATTGACATGAAAATTAATCTGATCAATTAAGATAATTAGGGATAAAATTAGTCAAAACATTATAATTAATAAATTAATTATTCTAAGTGATTATTAGCAAAATAAATTACTACAAGGAGCCACACATTAATAATTAACAATTTATTTATCTTAAGAGTATTATGTAGAAGTTACTGATTTGAGTATTATATCACACTAGTTAATAGGCTAATGACAGATTAATACTAAGAAATTAATTTGTAATTAATTATTAGAAAATTAATTTAGCTTTATTATTTAGGCTAATTAGAAATTTTTGGGCTAATTATGAATTAAATAGATCATTAGGTATTCATTATTATCATGCTAAATGCGGTTTTCTTATCATTCATACATATTTAATTTAAAATAAATAGTCTAACTAGTTATGTATTACTTAGAATGCAGAGAATCAAAACATCCTCATCAATATTGATATCCTATAGACTAAAGTATAAGCTAGTCTTTTCTAGATATGGATATTTATCTCGCTGATAGTGATTATAATTGTTTTTGGGTTATATAGGTTGTGTGAAGCTTTCCTTCCTCCAGTATGCTATCAAAGAGCAGGGTGAGACAATCAATTCGTTTTTTCTTCATAATTTTCCTATTCTTCGTCTTCTTGATTATCCCATTTTTGCCTTCATAATTTTTCTATTCTTTAACTTCTCCAACCACTGGCTCTCTTCACCTTTCCTTTAAACCAACTGCACTTGTCAATCATTAGTTATCAGAGCTCTGTTAGAATCATTTTTGCTATAGTTTTCGAAGCGGTACTACAAAATTCCTAATTTGGATGCTATACTTTGGTCTTTTCATATAGTTGTTGACATCTATATATATTCCACGATCAATTTAATGCATCAAGGAAGGCAAATAATGGATATGTCGTTAGCACGAGCATCGGGACACCTCGATCGCTATCAAAATGGCTCAAAATTTTATCGGATCATGAAGTAGATCACACGGATGGCTTAGGCACCGAAATTGCTAAGAGTCATTCGTGCGAAACTCAACCGAAAATGACGACAAGCATGATTGTTAGCAAGCGCGACATTCCACAAAATTGTCTGAATGACTTCCAATCATCAAACAGACATCATTGATGTGTTCAAGAAATTGATTTTACCTATGGGGTGACCGCTCGCAATCGAATTGAGCAAATGCGATCGAAATCGACGAACTACGAATAAAACATTATGCGACATTGCCTGAATGTCGTTTGTTCTCAAAACGGATTTCTTTGTTGTATTCGGGACATTGAAATCATATAGAAAAGATTGTAATATTGCTTGGATCTCCACATGAGCAAAAATTTGAAATCGACATGAATTTTGCGGCAACAACAACACGAAAACCAAGATGCATAAGTCACAAGAAATTGCACGGGGATCAATAGAGCTCTTTTTACTATTTCAAAAAATATTGTAGTTCAATTTTATAAATTCTAAATATATCTAAATGTACATAAAAAATAAAATAAAAAAATAAAAAAATTGAAATCATATACTCTACCCAATCTAAATCCCTACAAAAATCAGCTATGCACTTATCCTGCCAGACACCCTATCCCTGCCTAACTTCCATCAAATCCCTGCACGCCATCTATTTACCGCGGGCACAGTCACTGTTCTCTTTATGCACTCAAAAGAGCTCTCTCCCCCTTCATTACCCCACATACTAAGTCACAGTTGCTTCTAACCCAGACCCTCATGTATCTCATCCCGTTTCACTACTCGTGCAAGAGCCCAAAGCCTCCACCCTTCTTTCCCCACTCGAACAACCCTCCTTTCCCATAGCTGCACTCTTCTCTATACGCTACTTGAACCGAACACACCTCCACTTGCCATGTATCCCAAGCCACTACATCCTCACTAGCAGCAAACAGTTCTATCCAAACTCCCCTCTCCCCACCCCTGTTGGCACTGAGCAGAAGCCAAGCCCTTCATTCCTCACCTCTAATCTGTTTATTCCACTAGAGCGGCTCCCGTCCCTTCTCACACACCAAATCACAACTCCACACCCAAACACCAAATATCACAAATCCAATAGCCACCCTATTCCAAATATTATTATTGTAACAATTAGTAATAGTTAAAAATAAGAGAGGAAGAGAGATTTTCCCAAAAAAAAGTAGTGTACTCTGTCCTTATACCCTTGACGCCCTCGATACCGTTGTCATTGTCGTCTCGCTCATACAAAGGAATAAAGCTTGCTAAACTCTAAAAGTCAAATATCGTTGTCAACGCTTATGGTGCAACAAGCAACCCCCGCACGCGCTTTTCGTACATGACAGGAGGAAGTTCGAAGGTGACATTAGCAGCAAAGTTGATGCTATCAAATATCTATATTTTTATTTATATTAACATTAGTATGTTTTTTTATGTTCTTTTTTTTTTAGCTATCCAATGATGGGAAAGCATCCAATGATCATGATAGGTTGTGCTTGGGGCCTGGTAGATCTTTGGTTTTTTGGCTCGATTGGTCCTTGGTTGCTGCTGGTTCACGGGTTGTCTTATGGTCCACGGTTTTGGAGCCTATAGTGATGTGTGGAAGAGGATGGTGATTGAGCTTATTTTCTTAGTTGCTAGCTCATTAATGATAAGCTGAAATTTAGTAGCTCATTAATGTTCTAAGGTAAGCTCATAAGTTGGATTCTTTATTGGAGTGGTCTTGTCCCTTCTCCTCCCCTTTCTTCTTTAAAATTTGTCCTTATCCCATGGGATTCTGTGGCTGTTTTTTGGGCTTCCTGTGCTGGTTGTTTTCCGTGCCATGGCACCTTGGTTTCCCCGGTTGGATGCTGGTTTTCCGTGCTGGGTGGCCTTTCCGTGTCTTTTGGCGCCTCGGTTTTGTGCGGGCCTCTTTGGTTCCGTGGATGCCTCTTCGGGTCCCTGGCTGGGCGGTTTCCCGTGAAGTGTTGGGGGGATTTACGTGGTTTGTGATGCTTGGATTCCTGTGGGAATTCAATAAATTGATTGTTTTGTTTCTCCTCTCTTGCATATAAATATAAGATGTTTTGAGATGGAATAGTAGTTGAATATTGAGAGCAAATTTGCTATAAACCTGCGGGTTCTTGGAAAACCTTGCGAGCTTGTTCCATTCACCATCTCTTTTTCTAGGAAAGACTTGCGAGTTCTTTCCACCCTTCTTCTCAGCTTATAATCTCTTTCGTCTCTCTGCAAGTTCCACTCCATCTGTACCCTTCTTCTTGAGCTTTGGTGATGTTTGTTGGCTGATTTGGGAGCATTTGCTGGACGAGTTTGGATTGGACAATTGGACTATCTTGCAGTGGTGGACCATCGGCTTGCTAGCCCTAAGCACTTATTTTACTTAACCTACATGTCGATGCATGTGAGGAACCCACTCTGACGGTTGTCTGAGGATAGCGTTGTTTTTATTTTCTTTGTTTCTTTGAATTCTCTTCTAGTTTTCTTCGACGGATATTGGATGTCATAAATGATTGCTACTATTTGAATCAAGTTTGGTTTAATTTCGCCCTTTGTCTCCTTGTTTGTTTTTTTTATCTATTGTGCTTACATCAAATTGGTATCATAGCAAGTTCACTTATTTTTGGGTTGGTAGGAGTTTCTCTTTTGTGTTTAACAAATGGCTAATGATCATGGGGATTTGCAACAAATGATGCAACAATTGAATAATTGGCAACAACAAATCAACACGGTAGCTGAAGCAATTGCTAATCTGAATGTCAATCAAGCTGATGTTAATCCTAATATTCAAACTTCTAAAAGTGAGGAGGAAGAACCTAGAAATCAAAATAGGCGACAAAGAAATTGGGATTATCGAATTAAAATCGATGTCCACAGTTTTGAAGGAAAATTACAACCTGAACAATTCATTGAATAGGTAGAAAAAAGGAACAATTTTTCGAATGGAAAGAAATCCCGGATAATCGAAAAGTCAAATTCGCAAGTTTAAAACTAACGGGACATGCATTAACTTGGTGAAAAAACTTACAAAACAACAGATTAAGGCGAGACAAAGAAAAAATTCAAACTTGAGATAGGATAAAAGAAAAGATGAAAAGAAAATTTCTGCCTTCTGATCATTCAAGAACTATCTTTTAAGAACTTAACAATTTGCGTCAAGGAAATCAAACTGTTGAAGAATACACTAAAAACTTTTTTAAATTGCAAGCTAGAAATGATTTAGATGAATCTGAGGAGAAAACTGTAACAAGATATCTTAATGGATTAAAATGGACAATTCAGGATCAATTTAATTCACGGCATGGACACATGTCCGACACGGCATTGGAGTGTCGCAATTTAAAAAATTAAAATTAAAATCGGACACGCGTGTCGTG